AAAAAAAAAGAAAGAAAGAAAAAGAATTGACAGGAGGGAGTTAAAGCAAAGGGTTGAGACAGGAATGGTAAGAATGGGACAGAGGCAGAAAAGACAAAAAGCAGATTGAACTGTCACGCTCAAATTGAAAGGGAGAGTGTTTCTTTTAAATCCAGTGGTCAAACTAACAAAGTGTTCATAAGGCGGCTACCAGAGCTGGACAGACAGATGCTTTTAATGGCTAAACTACCATCCAAGCTCTTAGTGCCTTCCAAACACAGACAGAGTGGCACACATGTGCACTAACACACTGTCGCTCACACACACACGACAAAGATTGGTTTTATCAGAGTGTTTATTTGAGGAAATGTGACGCTAATGAGCAGAAATGCACAGCACATATGAGAGCGGATATTGCAGCTCCATAGCACCATCAACTGGAAAAGACCCACAGAATGCAACAACCCATGCTGCTGTGGAGACTTAACTCAGCCTGGGGTATATTTCTTTTAAGCCAATGAGAATGCAAAGCCACGTGTGTGCCAGTGTGAACTCTGATGTTTGCGGATGCGTTACCTCGGGTCTAAGTGTCGCCCTGCTGCAGGCGGGGCAGATGGGTCCATGCCGGGAGAAGGCGATGGGCAAACGTCTGGTCCTGTTCTGACAGGCCTGGTCCTCGCACACCAACCAGCCCTATGACACATGAAACTGGTTTAGTTCGGCCAGCTGTGAAACAGCTGCAAACGCACAAAGTTTTCCAAATGTTGCGATTTGTTGCTTGTTAGTTAAATTTTTTGTGAGGTTTTTGGATGAAAATCTCAATTTGCTGCTTTGACAGAGAGAAAAACACAAAGGAAAAACAAAACAAAACCAACATTTTTTTTTTAAAAAAAAGTTTTAAATAAGTTTTAAAACACTTCATTCAATTTTTAAGCCATTTATTATACCCTGAAGTTCTGCTACTGCAACAGTGATTAGAAATCATGTTTAAAGGATTCTTGATGAAAATATGTCAAAACACATGAATTAATGTACATTTCCATCAAACAGATGAACACAGAAAACACATTCAAAGCATCCAATGTCATTACTCGTTTATAAAATGTGTTAATTTACCACTTTGTTGCTAAAGGTGTTCTTAAAAAATTGGGGAGAAGAAAAAAACTTGTTGTCTTGTGGTGCTTTTAAAAACTGTTTCTGGTAATGAGGAAATTTTGCTGAAAATTGTTGTTTCCATTTAGCTGCTCTAATTTTGCACAACAATCTGACAAGAAACGCACTGCAAATAGGATTTGTAAAATACAACAAAAAAACTGCATGAAATAAAAAGAAGTTTACTGACTTCGCATACTGCCTTTTCATGTTTCCTTTTCTTTACATTTCGATGTATCTTCAGCTGCTGTGTGTCAGGGTCCTGCTCTGTCATACAGGCAGAGCAGCAGACAGCCAAAACGGCAGTAGTTAGGACCTCCTGGAGTGAGGTAGTGACCCTGGGCAGGTGCTGTGGGCTAACCCTCTCAATCTCCCCATATTCTTCCAGATCACTCCTCCCCTTTCTGCTTCTTATGCCCTGTCATTACTAAAAGACGGTTTAAAGGGGAGGGGGTTAATGCCCAACTAATGACAGAGCATAAGACCCACCGCCATCAACGCCTTTGCTCCTTTCCTACATCCAGCTAGCCTTCGTTCGCCCCATTCACTCAAAATAAACCCCTTCAAAACTGCTGCACCTGTCTGCCTATCAATACCAACCCCCTCCACCCACCACACACACGGTAGCTCCGATTGATTTTTAGGTCCGCCTTTGTCTTCTAATCAGTTTTGAAAAGCAGCAACCAAAAGAAATGGTGAGGATTATTTTCTTTACAGCTGATTTAACCCTATATGAACAACTTTTTTCCCTGTATTGGTCCTTTTTAATAATCTGTCAGGTTCTTTAAGGTTATTGTAAAAAGCATGTTTGATTTTAAGGATGCATTTCTCCTGCAAAATCTTTAGGATGTTTCTTTAGTAGACCATCTATAGTAAACCATCAGTGAACAATACTGTAATGGTAAATGGACTGGTACTTACATAAAGCTTTTCTACTCTAACTGAGCAGTCAATCCAGTTATTACTTCACATTTACCCATTTACACCCACACATACACTTCCTATCGCACACTCTTCCACCAGTGGAACACTTTGGGGTTTAGTATGTTACCCAGGCATGCAGGCTGGAGGAGCTGTGGATCAAACTGCCAACCATGTGCCTGGCTGACCACCCACTCCACCCCACTGAGCCACCCAGTACAAATGAACAGCACTTCAGTTCAGCCACTGTTTCTTTATGCAATTTGGGCTTCACCGGGTTCCAATGACGTTGTGATGCTATGAGATTTATATGAGACTAGTATTTCATGTCAGCAATTTCTGACCAAAACGCATCACATTGTAGATCACTATTTGCAAAATTTGTCCTGCTATAGAGCCATCCTCAGTGGCCGCTTTATTAGTTACACCTTGTTAGTACCTAAAACCAGGTTTCTGCCTTCAGAACAGTCTGAATTTGTCATGGCATTGATTCAACAAGATGCTGGAAACATCTCTCAGAGATTTTGTTCCATATTGACATGATAGCATCGGAGAGTTGCTGCAGATTTAGTGGTTGCACATCCATGATTTCTCTCTTGTACTACCACATCCCAAAGGTGCTCTGCAGAATTGAGATCTGCTGACTGTGGAACCATGGAGATGGGTACACTGATGGTAAAGAGATGGTCAGCAAGAATACCAGGGTAGCTTGTGGCATCTGAAAGATAGTCAGCTGTTAATAAGATAACTATGGTGTGCCAAGAAAATATCCCCCATAGGCTGAACCATTGATACAAAGAAGGATTGATCCAACTTTTATGTTCATGGCAAATTCTGTCCCCGACCGTCTGAATGTCACAGGAAAACTTGAGACCCACCAGATTAGTCAACTTTTTCCAATATTCACCGATTACACTGAGCTGTAACCTCGGTTTCCTGTTCTTAGCTGACAAGAGATGCTCTTCTGCATATCTTAGCTGTAACAAGTGGTTATTGGAGTTACTGTTGCCTTTCTGTAAATTTAAAGCTCTATTCTCCTCTGACCTCATGTCATGTTCAAAGTCACTTAAAAATCACCTTTATTCTCTATTCTGATGCCTGCTTTGAACTTCAGCGGGTCACTTTGACCATGTCTTCAAATCTAAATGCACTGTCCTGACTAGATATCTGTACCGATGGGCTGTTGAACAAGTGCACCTAACAAAGTGGCTGATGAGTGTAGGTTCCTCCATCCTCATACATTTAATTTAACAAACTGAACTAGATCAAACCAGAGACAAATACATCTAACCCAACTATTCTTTCTGCAACTGCACACATTTCCAGTAACCTCATGTACACCTCACCACATCAACAAAAATCTGCAAATTTATTTATTGCGTTCAGCGTTCAGCATTTTTTAAAGAAAAAAATTGCAGTTTTTTTTCTCCCCCAAACAGGAGATGAAGGCGTAGACATGTCGTCTACACAAACAGGCTACACACACACACAAACACACACACATACGAACAGAGATAAATTTGGCCAATCTCTTTTAAATGAAAACCAAACACACAACATATGTCCCAAATCAATTAGAAAGTCCCAGAGTTCACAGCTTTACCCACAATACCCAGCGCCAGGACTAATTATCTGAACACCTCTGCTGTTCTTGTGCAAAGAGCTAGGCATCATGGGAAATGAGACTGCTTCACCGTGTCTGATAAAGACACATGCAGGACAATAGTTCATGGAGGTGGGAGATAAGGAGTATGAGAGTGGGAGGCTGTAGCGCAGTCTTTTTTGTGTACTTCTTATGACACAAGCCTTGGCACACACTGCTGTTCCCATGGGCCTGATTCACTGGCACACAAACATTCAGTGTGCGTACAAACATATTCATTGGCGCCCATTCACATGAATTAAAATGAATTAACAAGGCACACATCAAAGACTGAGGAGGTTCAAAGGAGGAACTCACAATGCCCTTCTGCTCTGCCGCTGTGACCCCAAAAACCCGTCCACACACAAGCCACATACCGAAAGAAATAAAAAATTAAGTTAAGATCAAGTGCGGCAGACCTGCGAGCCCCATAGAAAGGACTGAAAACAAGAAGCACATCAGGACCAAAGAAGGATAAAAAAAAAATAAAAAAATCTAATTGAGGCATATTGCAAGAGCGAGGGTGGGGGTGGGTGGGGGTGTACAGTCGGACGTGAGAATAAAGACTCATAATTGCATAATTACAGCAGTGGATACCTGACACACTGAATGCAGATGTCAAATGAGTTCCACATAATTTAACCAAATAGAGGCAAGACCAGGCCACGACAGGGCCCACCACGAAATGTACCCTTCCTCTGCAGCTTCTTCTTTGTTTGTTTTTTTATTTTTAAAAACACATTTATCTCATCCGAAACCCTCCGCTTTGTTACATTCTCATAATTTAGGCTCTGAGAATTCAACATTACTCTCGACGCTGTAGTTCATAAACCTTCCCTCGTCATCTCCATGTTTATTTATTTCAGTAAGCAATCCTATAAACAATGTTCAGTCTGAATAATCCACTGATAATCTTCCATAAATGACTGATCGAGTGCCCTGCAAGTCTCAGATAACCCTTCAAAGTGCTGCTACTGAGCCATTTTAAATGGTAATTAAAGTAGAGGTTTGACGATTTTCATTCAATTAATTCAGTCGTGGCTAAAGCTGACAATAAAATTAGATTTGTTTCTTACATTACTTCTATACTGTAGACTCCTGCTGAGAAGCCACGCCCCTTTTTTAGTCTCGATCCTCTGCTCTGATGGCTCACCATGGCAATGTGTTAGTGAGGAATCCACCACTACACACTGCAGACCACATGTAAGGCTGTGTGCTGCTCAGGGCTTACACAGCACCATCATTATGGATAAACCTGCACTGGTTATATGTTCAGAGGAGTTGATAGATTATCAGTCAGTCAATCTGATGTTACGGCACTCTTCCAGGAACAACAAGGTCCAATAAACTCAATTAGGTGCCATTTCTATACTTCTCTCTAAATCATTACAGTTTCGAATCCCGTATACATTTCCAGTTTGATCATTTCTCTTAAAACTGCAGTTTAAAGTAGTTTTTCCAGTGCTGTTCTTATTTTACTCTCAGAGAGCAAACATTCACATCTAAAAAACAAACCCACACCCCCCCCCCAAAAAAACCTATTGATAATTGATGTTTTGTAAATCAAATAATTGATTAATGAGACAATTTGAGCTCCATTGTTGTACTGTATAAGTGGAGAAGCCTCTCTGATGTGACTTCTGCAGCAGAGGAATCCACCTGCCACACACACATACGCACACACGCATGCAGAAAGACCTCTAACTGTTTTTTGTGCTTTGGCAGTCAACACTTCCAGCTCTAAAGTGAATAGACCTAAAAATCGGTCTACTTCACAGACACGCACTCTCTCACACAGACACAGACACACACAGTGAAAAGAGCTCAAACGGTTCCACTTTGTACCTCCTCCGCTTAATCAAAGCTTCTCTATTCAACAATTTGACCTTTTGTTCAAAACAGGATTATCACCTTCTCTGGTCTTCATTCACCCTTTCTCTCTCTCCCTCCCCCTTTCTTCTCTTGCCCCTCAGCCTGTTTCCAGGGGCGACCCGCATGACGAGGGTAATTGCAATAATTTGTTAAATGCCATGGTAACGGTTGTTAGATGGGAGGGGTTTAAAAAAAAGAAAAAAAAAGAAGAAGAATTGGGTGGTTCAGGAAACAAGCGAATCTCTCATTTTGCCAAAGACAGCGGAGTGAAGAGGGAATGATGGCTGCGTGTGTGTGTGTGTGTGTGTGTGTGTGTGTGAGTGACAGTGAGTGAGAGAGAGAGAGGTAGTGGGCAAGTGTTTGCCCATTCTCAGGGTGCTGGTTTATTGATAATGGTGGGGGTGAGGTGGGGAGCAGAAGGTAATTTCACTAATGATTAATGTCTCTGTGGTTAGAGCTAAAGACGCCAACACATATATACGTATATCCACGTGCGCGCGCGCACACACACACACACGCGCGCGCACACACACACACAGAGGTACAGAGCTTTCACTCTATCTGCCCAGACAAACAGCTCTATTTGAACTCTCCCTCGGCCTGAAAGGAATCCTTAATTACACAATATTACCCCTCTTCATTGCCCTGCTGTGTGTGCTGTGTCCACTGCTGTTCAGCCCTCGGTGCGTGCGTGTGTGTGTGTGTATGTGCGCATGTGTATAAATGTGTGTTACTGTGTGACGTGTAAGTATTCAGTGGTAGCAGCTGTTTCACACATCGTGACAAAGGGGCTGAGGGGGACTCACTACCCACACATTCACCACGCTAATTGATTTCTGTTCAGCACTGTGGGAGAGTTACCCTGCTACACACACACACACACACACACACACACTGCATTCCACTCACTCAAGAACAAGGTGTTGGAAGCCATGAGGAGATAGAGTCCCCTACGAAGACAACGCAGGCATCCTGTTTAATTCACTCCCAGGCTGCAAACTGACTACACCGTCCTTTACACCGTCATGTGTCACAGCCTCTCGATCTACTCTGTCCAAGAGGAATCTGCAGATATCAGTGTTCACATACTTTACTGCCATAAATCAGAGTGCCACGGCATGACAGACTTTTGAAAACGAATAAATCAAAGTCTTTTGCAAAGGCACTACAAATCATCTTCTCGGGGTCTATATTGATGTCCCACACTGCCACAACGGTCATGTTTCTGTTCAATAACTTCACTGACACTTTAGCTAACGTAGCAGTGAATTATTGCAGTTTTATCATACATTGCATATTTCATAGGAAGACTACTTCTTAGGGCCTTCTGCCATCTGAAAAGCTCACGAGATAAAACGGATGACAATCTGAATTGCTCGCAAAGAGGTTTATGAAACATTCACACCCATCTCACTCCAAGTATAGTTAGCTGTGCGAGGTGAGGAAGTCTCAACTTTTTCAATTTTTATTTGTTAGAAACTAATCGTGGACTTTTTAACTTGCACTACTGGGTGCAACTCGATGTTATCTGAAAATGAGCATAATTCAGTTTTTAGACGATATGATGTTCCGTTTGCCATGACTCTGCATTCCAGTGTGACTAGATCACATTTTAACATATGGGCTTCTTTGGTTTGATTTGTTACCAAAGAGAAAATCTGAAATTTTTCAGTTATGTCCATCTAAAAAAGGTCCTGAGACATTTTACTCTACACCAACGTGGTGAACTGACCACTATGAGTGCAACAGTGTTGCCATGTTTACAAATAAATAAAAATACAAAACTAGTAACATTTTTGAAAATATGAAATGTCATCAATGTCTAAATTAAGTGAAAAATAATCAACAATATTACTGAATTATTATCCTATCATGTAAAGCAGAACATGCATGAAACTAAGTTGCACTGTAATGACTGCTTTAACCTTTTTTGGGTCATAAGATGTCAAAGTAGTTCTGGTTTGAAACATTGCTGCATAGGACTGTTGTAGGCAAAAGGTTTAACACTTAGGCAGTGCTGACAGCATCACCATCTTCAGGACTAAGGCATTAATCCAGGATCTACCCGACCACTCTGAGCCACTTTAACTTGTGATTGGTCATTAGGAGCATGCTGATCCTCAGCTTAACCCTTTAAGACCTACCATAGAACCAAGTCCGCCAGAGCTTATATTATATTTTTACATGCTGTAGTGCCATTT